CCTGACGGTGATCCCTCTAGTGATATAAAGATCTATATAGAGGAATCAGGACCTCCTTCCTCCTGATGGTGACCCCTCTAGTGATATAAAGATCTATATAGAGGAATCGGGACCTCCTTCCTCCTGATGGTGATCCCTCTAGTGATATAAAGATCTATATAGAGGAATCAGGACCTCCTTCCTCCTGATGGTGACCCCTCTAGTGATATAAAGATCTATATAGAGGAATCAGGACCTCCTTCCTCCTGATGGTGATCCCTCTAGTGATATAAAGATCTATATAGAGGAATCAGGACCTCCTTCCTCCTGATGGTGACCCCTCTAGTGATATAAAGATCTATATAGAGAATCAGGACCTCCTTCCTCCTGCTGGTGACCCCTCTAGTGATATAAAGATCTATATAGAGGAATCGGGACCTCCTTCCTCCTGATGGTGATCCCTCTAGTGATATAAAGATCTATATAGAGGAATCAGGGACCTCCTTCCCTCCTGCCGGAGACCCCTCTAGTGATATAAAGATCTATATAGAGGAATCAGGACCTCCTTCCTCCTGATGGTGACCCCTCTAGTGATATAAAGATCTATATAGAGGAATCAGGACCTCCTGACGGTGATTCCTCTAGTGATATAAAGATCTATATAGAGGAATCGGACCTCCTTCCTCCTGATGGTGACCCCTAGTGATATAAAGATCTATATAGAGGAATCGGGACCTCCTTCCTCCTGATGGTGATCCCTCTAGTGATATAAAGATCTATATAGAGGAATCAGGACCTCCTTCCTCCTGATGGTGACCCCTCTAGTGATATAAAGATCTATATAGAGGAATCGGACCTCCTTCCTCCTGATGGTGACCCCTCTAGTGATATAAAGATCTATATAGAGAGGAATCGGGACCTCCTTCCTCCTGATGGTGACCCCTCTAGTGATATATAAAGATCTATATAGAGGAATCAGGACCTCCTTCCTCCTGATGGTGACCCCTCTAGTGATATAAAGATCTATATAGAGGAATCAGGACCTCCTTCCTCCTGATGGTGACCCCTCTAGTGATATAAAGATCTATATAGAGGAATCAGGACCTCCTTCCTCCTGATGGTGATCCCTCTAGTGATATAAAGATCTATATAGAGGAATCAGGGACCTCCTTCCTCCTGATGGTGACCCCCTAGTGATATAAAGATCTATATAGAGGAATCGGGACCTCCTTCCTCCTGATGGTGACCCCTCTAGTGATATAAAGATCTATATAGAGGAATCAGGACCTCCTTCCTCCTGATGGTGACCCCTCTAGTGATATAAAGATCTATATAGAGGAATCAGGACCTCCTTCCTCCTGATGGTGACCCCTCTAGTGATATAAGATCTATATAGAGGAATCAGGACCTCCTTCCTCCTGATGGGTGACCCCTCTAGTGATATAAAGATCTATATAGAGGAATCAGGACCTCCTTCCTGATGGTGACCTCTAGTGATATAAAGATCTATATAGAGGAATCCCTCCTTCCTCCTGATGGTGATCCCCTCTAGTGATATAAAGATCTATATAGAGGAATCAGGACCTCCTTCCTCCTGATGGTGACCCCTCTAGTGATATAAAGATCTATATAGAGGAATCAGGACCTCCTTCCTCCTGATGGTGACCCCTCTAGTGATATAAAGATCTATATAGAGGAATCGGGACCTCCTTCCTCCTGATGGTGACCCCTCTAGTGATATAAGATCTATATAGAGGAATCAGGACCTCCTTCCTCCTGATGGTGACCCCTCTAGTGATATAAAGATCTATATAGAGGAATCAGGACCTCCTTCCTCCTGATGGTGACCCCTCTAGTGATATAAAGATCTATATAGAGGAATCAGGACCTCCTTCCCTCCTGATGACCCCCTCTAGTGATATAAAGATCTATATAGAGGAATCAGGACCTCCTTCCTCCTGATGGTGATCCCTCTAGTGATATAAAGATCTATATAGAGGAATCAGGACCTCCTTCCTCCTGATGGTGACCCTCTAGTGATATAAAGATCTATATAGAGGAATCAGGACCTCCTTCCTCCTGATGGTGACCCCTCTAGTGATCCTTCCTCCTGATGGTGACCCCTCTAGTGATATATAGATCTATATAGAGGAATCAGGACCTCCTTCCTCCTGATGGTGACCCCTCTAGTGATATATAGATCTATATAGAGGAATCAGGACCTCCTTCCTCCTGATGGTGATCCCTCTAGTGATATAAAGATCTATATAGAGGAATCAGGACCTCCTTCCTCCTGATGGTGATCCCTCTAGTGATATAAAGATCTATATAGAGGAATCAGGACCTCCTTCCTCCTGATGGTGACCCCTCTAGTGATATAAAGATCTATATAGAGGAATCAGGACCTCCTTCCTCCTGATGGTGACCCCTCTAGTGATATAAAGATCTATATAGAGGAATCAGGACCTCCTTCCTCCTGATGGTGACCCCTCTAGTGATATAAAGATCTATATAGAGGAATCAGGACCTCCTTCCTCCTGATGGTGACCCCTCTAGTGATATAAAGATCTATATAGAGGAATCGGGACCTCCTCCTGATGGTGACCCCTCTAGTGATATAAAGATCTATATAGAGAAATCAGGACCTCCTTCCTCCTGATGGTGACCCTCTAGTGATATAAAGATCTATATAGAGGAATCAGGACCTCCTTCCTCCTGATGGTGACCCCTCTCTAGTGATATAAAGATCTATCTATATAGAGGAATCAGGACCTCCTTCCTCCTGATGGTGACCCCTCTAGTGATATAAAGATCTATATAGAGGAATCGGGACCTCCTTCCTCCTGATGGTGACCCCTCTAGTGATATAAAGATCTATATAGAGGAATCAGGACCTCCTTCCTCCTGATGGTGATCCCTCTAATGATGCATCCTAGAATTCTATCATCTTTCCCCACTGTTTGCACATTTTGCAATCATCTGAGATAAGTGCCCCCAAATCCTTTTCCTCTGTAGTGTTGGCCAACACACACACCCCCGATGTTGTACTCTGTCAAGGGATTTTTTTTCCCTGGTGCATTATTTTACATTTAGAAAGATTGAACTGCAGTTTCAGCGTTTTGGCTAATCTTTCAGCAATGCCAAATCATGTTCCATGTTACAGACCCCTCCAGGGATATTCACCCTATTGCCAGTAGTGTGTTTAGATTTTGTGCTGCCCTCCCCAATGAGAGAGCGAGAGAGTTCAATAAGTGTGTGTATGTATATATGAATGTCTCTCTCTTCCCTTTCTCTTTCTCTCTCTCTCTCTCCCCCCCCCCCCTCTTTCTCCCCCCCCCCTCTCTCTCCCTCTTTCTCCCTCTGCCTCCCTTCTCCCCCCCCCTCCCTCTTCCCCCCCTCTCTCTCCCCCCCTCTCTTTTCCCCCCCCCCCCTCTCTCTTTTCCCCCCCCTCTTTTTCCCCCTTCCCCCCTCTCCCCCCCTTCCCCCCTCTCTCTCCCCCCCCCCCCTCTCTCTCCCCCCCTCTCTCTCTCCCCTACCTCTCCCCCCCCCTCTCTTTCTTCTACCCCTCTCTCTCTCCCCCCCCCCCTTTCTCTCACATTGCTGTGGCAACCTATTACACACTTTTCATGTTGTTCTAGTGAAGGCATACAGCCTAATGCAACAAATGGGCTCTAGCCGTATTCTGTAAAGATCTCTGGTGTACAGTTCCGCGCAGTTGCAGGTGCGCACCATCTAACCCATCCTGACAGTTGCCCAGAACTGAAGGAGGAAGACCAAATGGTCCTCCTCCAGCTCTGAGTAACTGTCGAGCTGGATTAGCTGCATGTAGCTGCCTGAAGGAGGAAGACCAAACAGTCCTCCAGCTCTAGGAATTGGTCAGGCTGGATAGACAGCGGCTAGAACACAGCTGCTACATGCGACTATCCCGTGATGTTCCAGTGGAAGTGGACAGCCTCACGCTAGCTGTTGTCTGAAGAGCACTGGTGTGCAGTTGTGGAATTTATGAAGTCTTACTGGAGCAAAATTAGGGCAAGTCCACCTACCTAGTTACACCTAGATCAGGCATCACTAAATGGCAGACCTCGTCCGCATCCAGACCAGGCCACTGTCCCATCTGCTCGCTATTTAGCAACTCTTTCTTCCCCCAGCCTCTGCCGCTGTCATTATCACAGCAAAGAAGAGCCGGAGGCAGAAGTGGGAGCAGGAGCTGCTGCAATTAATGTTTCCAGTTAACCAGCTGGTGATTGGTTGCTAGGTTTCAGGGCGGTCCTAGCAACCAATCATGAGATTGTTAATAGGAAAATAAAAAAGCTGATGAGGCTTGTGATGTGAAGTGGGGGTAGAGTGGCTGGGGGCCTAGAAGTTGAGGACAGGGCTACAGGGATCTGTGACGTGAAGTGGAGGACAGAGATGTGAGGAGTTGTGATGTGAAGGGGCAGTAGCAGACACTGCCTTGGAGGAGGGGTTTACAGTTACCGTACGTCCGTTAATTCTGAGATTCAATACCCCCTGATCTATCTGGAGGTCCAGCTTGTGGGATAATCCTCCCAGCTTCTAGTTCTGGCCAGTTGATTGGGCGGAAGAAAGAATGGGATCTTAAATGTCTTACCAGCCCTCGTCGAGCCTCTTGATATTTACAGAGAAGCTGTAAAACAAAAAAATAGAGACAGTTGGGTCAGTATCAATACAATTACAGTTTGTGGATAGTATAACCCCCATGTGTAATATGTCACACACAAGAAAACATGTATATATACTCACTCTCCATAAAACGTCTTTGAGGTCAGAATCCATTTGTGGTGGAAAACGTGGATGGATGCAGATTATGGCCTGGTCCAGGTCCATTTTGCAGGTTATAAATGGGTGGTGGCGCGTTGCCATCAAATACAGTATGATGCCAAATGAGAAATAGTCTACAGCCCAGTTGTAAGGCTGGCTGAGCAAAACCTGTAGAAAGATCCAGAAAAGAGGAAGGGTTAAGATATCATTGAACAATAGTGAGTACAAACATTACAATGAAGTCAAAAGATGAATAGAATGTTTCTTACCTCTGGCGCCACAAACGCTAGTGTTCCGACGGGGTCGTGTAGCATGGATCCGCTGGCATCTATTGCAGCCAGTCCAAAATCGGCAATTTTAATACAGCTGTCTTCGCCCAGGAGGATATTTCCTGGTTTTAGGTCTCGATGCACGATGCCCCTGGTGTGGAGGTATTGAAGGCCGCAAAGGATCTCCGCAGACATGTATCTGAAAAATAAAAAACATCAATTATGTTAGAAACCACCAAGTTTTTAACCTAAAAGATGGGGTTACGTCAGGTAAATGGACACCAAGCATGTCAAGCCCTTCAAATTATGAGCAACTATGACATGATGATCCCATAGCCGAGCCGGGCCCAGATGTCCATTTGGTCATCTACAGAGCCAGTGTTCAGCTTCTGCAATGTGTCTAGGTTTGGTTGGAACACCCATTTGAGCATCTGATGACCATGTCGTCAGGTTTATGGCTCTTTAAACCGCTTCTGCTCCGTTATCCCCATTGGTAGATCCGTGAAGGATACCACCTGATCATGGATGGAGGGGCGGCAGTGCCTGTGGCCTCAGGCCTCCCTGACTGGCTGATGCTGAATGGTTATTTTGGTAACTAAACTGCTGCAACTAGCATTATATTCCGATGTAACTAAATCAAGGAAATCACTATTTACTACATGTGATTTCCCTGCGGTATGTCAGAAAGGTTACACCAAATCTACAAACTACCCATGTCTGTGGTTCTGGCATGGTCTGTTTTAACCCCTTTTTTACAAGTACCTAGGTGTATATAGGTACTGGGCCTCAGCTGGAAGATCCCAGCCGTGTAACTGTCCTACCGCAATGGCCAACCACCTTCTTACCCTAGAATAAGCTCTGTTATCACTTACCTTAAGACGCCCGTGCGCAATGGTGCGTAGGTATTTATGAGTCCTTTCAAATCTCCACAGCTCGCGTATTCCATGGCGATGTATTGATGACTCTGTATAAAAATAAGAGAATGGGAAAAAGTTAAATTATAGCTGTGCTGTTTGGCACTCAGTAAAACCCTTAAAAAAAAAAAACCCCCACTCTTTCTTTACCTATATATTCATCCTGTTTTATATAAGAAGTTTATAAATTAGCAAGGGACTACTTAGCTACTGTTTAGACCAGGAGTGCTCAATCTGTGGACCGCGGAGCCCTCTGATGTGGCCTGCGACCTGCGACCTCCAACCAGAGAAGCGCATGCCTATGCTCTTTAATGGCGGGTCGGAAAGCCCCAATCACGACCAATGGGTTACCGACTCGCCATTCGAGAGCATCAGAGTGCATCTTGCTGGCAGCAAAGGAAGCAGGCAGCCATGGAGGAAGCAGGAGCCGCATAAGGTGCTGCTTCTTCTGTGGCGCCGGCTCCTGTCCCAGATGGAGTGATATCACGTGCACTTCACCTGGGACCTTTCTAGCACCTTGGAGAGCGATGCCAGCAGAAGCTGGATGTGGAAAAGAAGCTCAATGTAGTAAACATCACATACACTGCATGTTAGCAATGGGCATATTAGCACCTATAAAAGGGCTAACAACTATTAGGCTGCTCTCACACTGCTCTGCACCCGCAGCTTTCTTTCCTGCAGGTCAGCTGAACCTAGCCTAAGTCTCAGCTCACACTAGCTTTGTCAGCGGGCATCATCAGACAGGCATTTGGGAAGCGTCTTTAACGCTTCTCAAACGCCTATGAAAATTCTGCACATAGCAGCACACAGTACTGTTCACACTGAAGCGTTAGCGTCACGGCAAAACTGACGCCCTCGTGTCGAGTCAGGAGGAGTTGAAACCTCTCATTCAAGTCTATGGTGCCGCTCTGGAAACGCCTGGCAGGCGTTTGCGGAGTGTTAATACCATTTAACTTCATTATAGGAGTTTGTGGTGTGGTTTTAACGCTTGGCAAATGCCTATCAACCGCCTCAAAACCGCGTTTGTGGAGCGTTAAAAATGCTTCCCAAACGCTATAGGGGCATTTGGCAAGAGTTAGAAATAAAGTGAAGTGTGAACGAGCCCTTATACTTCTATTATATCCTGAGGAATTGGTGCGCTTTCAGAACACACCTTCAAGATATAATAGAAGTTGATGGCAAAGTGCAGCACACACCTGCAGGAGTACTGCGCTGCACCCACGGTGTGGGGTAAACCGCAGCACATTGATGTGAAAGCCTTATGGGGGGGGTTCAGGACAGTCAGGGGTTGTTTCCATTTGGGGGGTGTAAAACCCCATAGCTCCCCAGGCACACTGCCACCTCTCTGCATATCGCACCAAGACCCCCTCCAAGTAGCAGTACCTAGTGTGGACGGCACTCCCTTAGGTACAACGTAAACATCCATTGTTCTGTGCCAATGACTGTCACCTTTGTACTGGTCCAGGAAAAGGAAGGGGATCTCATGATAACACACATACAACAGGCTAAACAAGTGGGAAAGGGTAACTGTATACTTACCATTGTATGGAAAGATCCTAAAAACCGGATGATGAAGGGACAATCTCTGGTCATCTCTAGCGCCTGGAGTTCTGTCCTGTTGCTTTGGTAACATAATATATCTGTCTTCTTCAATGCCAGAGTCTGGCGACTGGCGATGTGGATGCCAAGTGGACCTAAAGGAAAAAGAGAGTTAGAACATATGTCCATAATACTACCCCCCCCCCCCCCCTCCCTTCCCAAGTTCTCTAGCATGTAATCTAACCTGCTGGTTAGACATTTTTTACTATGAAGAACATGCTACACTCTGTAGACAAAAGGCGAAGCTTTAACACAAGGGTAAGGAAAGTAAATCCGGACTTAGGTGGATCAAATCTCAGCCTGTTCAGCAGGGACTGCGGCCTGAGATTCGATCCATCAATGGACAGGCTGGTTATACTGAAAATGATCCATCCATTAATCGACTTCAGTACAACCAGCCTGTCAGATTTATTTTCCAGCGATCACGGCTGGTGCCTATGGCCACCAGCAGTGATCATTGTGTTCTGCCAGCAGGGAAGGCTCCCCAACAGCAGAACACAAAAGTGCTGCGGGAGGGATTCCCCCATCAAAACTGAGCACCCTTTTCAGTGCGATCTATAAAAGAGTCCGGTGCGGATTCATTCATTCAGTGGTTCAAGTGCGATTCCAATGCCAATTGCTAAAGGGTATGACATTGGAAATTGCACCTCAACTGGGCTGAAAATGGTACCGGACTTTTTTTTTAATCGCATTGCGGCCGGCCCACACGTGTGAACAGGCTTCATAGAAAAGGATATTGGTTCACATGTCATGCGAATCGGATGCAGTTTAAAACGCATCTAATTTACATATATGTGAACCGGGTTTCACTGTGTTGATGGGGGAGTATAGCAATTTTCTTTCCTTCAACCTGTGGTGGAAGGAAAGAAAATTGTATGCTCTATAAACTGCTTTAGGCCGGCCATAGTCGGTTTAAATCTCGGACGGTTCATTAGGAGCCGGCCGAGATTTGAATCGTGTTTGGGCAGGCTGAATGTACAACCAGCCTGCCGGATTTACACCGTCTTCTCCTGGCGGGGGAAGCTTCCCCTGCCCGCTCCCACCTTCCCGCTAGGAAAAGACAATAGCTTGGTAGGAGGGATTCCCCTGTCGGCGCGGTTTGTGTAGGTGGGGAAATCATGCAAATTTCTTTTCTTCAACCTGTGGTTGCAGGAAAGAAATTCCCACCGTCTATGGCCGGCATTACCGTCACTTTTTGAAAAATAAAGATCCTTATCCCGGCATGTCGGCTTTGTAACATTGAGACTTTGGGCTGTCATAGAGCCCTTCGGGTAATGTGTCTGATCTCTTACCTCTCCAAAACTCCCTTCTCCCAGTAAGTTGTGAACTCTGAAGTCCTTCAAAGTCAGTTTGGTTTTGTGTAGTCCTAGAGAAAAGAAAAAGAGAAATTGTCAGTAATACATCCATACATAGACCACTCAGTCATGTTACATAGAATCTACCGTGTTTCTTTAATTGCCTATATATAACATGTAACCTGTAAATACTTGTTACGTCATGGAGGGACAATTATTAAAGTGATAAGGCCTTATTCACACAAGCACTGTGGACCATACAGCGTGAGTTGGCGCTCGGGGCTGCTCCTGCACCCCTGAACGTCTGTTAGGAAAAGCAATTGTGTCCCCATAGAGTAACATAGGCTGCCTGTATGTGGCTCCAGATGCATAAACAAACTGCCCATTCATGCTGTAGGGGCCCCGGCACCCATGTGAATGAGCCGCAAATGTGCAAAAAATATTAGCATTATATGGTCCTCCAAATTAAAAAACAATAAACCCATTGAGGACTGCGTCTTCTGTTTTGGCGGATCGGATCGAAGGTAGCCTGGGTGAAAGCGGACAGCATAGTCCATTTATACCCGGCCACCCATAGAGCAGAGTGGGGTCTCTTCTTGTCCGCTCTGCTCCAATCAGCAGGGGGATCAGCTCCCAGATTGTCTGCTGATCATAACAGAATCCCCCCTGTGTGAAAGAGGCCCTAAAGTAACACCCCAAAAAAATGTCATCTATTGTATGAATATATTGAATGCAGTGGCAGCATTTTCATCATTGCAGGATTTTATGCCTGGTGATCAGCCAATAACATATCTCCTGTCTTAGGGTGGTGACATTCACTCCTCCACTGGACAGCTGCATTGTCCATCAGTGGAGAGGGTGGTGTTGGATGGACTAGTAGATTTAACCAGGCCATAGATAATGCAATCTCTTTCCTGCAACTGCAGATTGCAAGAAAGAAAATTGCTCGATTCCCCAATCAACACCGACTCATCCCCTACTGCAGTGCTATTGTGTTCTGCTTGCAGGGAGCCTTCTCTGCTGGCAGAACACAATGATTACGGCTGGTGGCTTTATCCCCGGCAGTAATTACATGCACAAAAATCAGACAAACTGGCTGTACTGAAGTTAATTAATGGATCAACGTCAGTACAGCCAGCCTGCCCATAGATGGATCGAATCTCAGCCGGGTTCCTGCTGAACCGACCGAGATTTGATCCATCTATGACTGGCTTTAGACTTTACATAAGTGATTAACAATGTAAAGTTCACACCAGATAACCCCTATTAATTACAGCAATAGTTTTTTCCTTTTAAGATAAAGGATTCACATAAATGAATAAACACACCCCTGTTAGTGTTAAATGGTTTGTCCCAACCCTCTAAATACTAGCTTTTCTGGACACAG